GGGGTTTCACCATGCTGACCAGGATGGTCTCGATCTCTTGACCTCATGATCCACCCGCCTCGGCCTCCCAAAGTGCTGGGATTACAGGCGTGAGCCACCGCGCCCGGCCCTCATTTATTCTTATATGTAAACTATCTGAAACTCTTCTAGCAGTAAAGCAGGATACTGATTAAATATCTTGCCACATTAAACAGGTTCAGGCAGCTTGCATACAAGAATGGAAACTTGCATACAAGTGGAAATTGGTCAGGCGTGGTGGCTCACACCTGTAATCCCAGCACTTTGGGAGGCAGAGGTGAGTGGATCACCTGAGGTCAGGAGTTCGAGACCAGTCTGGCAACATGGTGAAACCCTGCCTCTACTAAAATTATAAAAATTAGCCGGGCATGACAGCAGGCACCGTAATCCCAGCTACTCGGGTGGATGAGATAGGAGAATTGCTTGAACTTGGGAGACAGAGGTTGCAGTGAGCTGAGATTGCGCCACTGCACTCCAGCCTGGGTGAAAGAGCAAGGCTGTCTCCAAAAAAAAAAAGGAAGGAAGATGGTGGAAGACTGGACATAATGAACATGTCTGACATCTGATTCTGGTTTTCACAGACTTGTATTCCTGCAGAGAACACCCAGCAAAATTCTGCAATATTTTAAAATTCAGTTTGTGAGAAAGTAAGGATTATGATGTTAGAACACACTTATTCAGAAGCTAACCTTGTTTCCCTCCCTGCAGCCCTCACCCCCACTGTTTTTGAATGGGAGTGAATGGGGGTTCAGGCTAAAACTCAACTGGGAGTCAGAAGATGAGTTCTTTGCAGGTCTGCCACTGACTAGCTCAACCAACTGATGAGTCAAGTTTTCCTGAAACTTCATTTGCAATAAAGGAATAATCTCTAAGGTTTCTTAAAATTCTGATTTTAATTTTTAAACTCTGAGTTACTGCTGCTACTACCCAAAGAAATTTCTGACGCTTTTTGGAACTGATTCCATATAAGAAGCTCTTAAGAAAACTTGTGTCATCCTCATAGCCACATCTCCTTTTGAGCCAAATATGACATTACCTAGCTTGATTCACATCACATTAACTTCAAATGATGCAGCCCTTTTTAAAACTAAAATCTTAGGCCGGGCACTGTGGCTCACACCTGTAATCCCAGCTCTTAAGGAGGCAGAGGCGGGAGGATAGCTTAAGCCCAGCTTAAGCTTAAGATATAAGCCTGGGCAATATAGCGAGACCCCGTTCTCCACAAAAAGGAAAAAAACAAAAAGACAAAAAATAAATAAATAAAAATAAAAAAAAATAAAATAAAACTAAAATCTTCAACAGGAAATTTGTCTCCATTAAATATATTTAAAATTTAGATTCTGCTCTAAGAAACCACTTAAAAGTATTCTGAACAATGCTTTGGGTCCAAGACTAAAATAATGGTAACATTATTGGAATTAGCACATAGCTTTCCAGAGTAATTTCTTTGAAGAGACAAGGCACATTAACTTGGTGTACTGTTTCATAAGAGTCTATAGTCATCCTAATTAGAGATGTTAAATATAAGAAAAAGGCTTTAAAATTGGTAAAATATATAGTACGTAGGTTTTTAAAAAGCCATTTGTAATATATCCCAAACTACCTTTTTCCATTTTTGGAACACTTGGGTTGGAACACAGAACCCTAAACGTTAAAGCATTTCTTATTGTAACTACAAGGCAGTGGTTCTAAAATGCTGCACAATGAAATCACCTATAGATATATTTTAAAAATAAAGATGCCTGGCTCCCTCTCCCAAACACTAACTTAATTGGTATGGAGTAGGAGCTAGGACACAGGATTATGCTATTTCTAACGTGAGGCAAAGTTTGCATTCAAGTGAATTAATGCCTATAACTCAGAAATAATTTGCAGATTATATAGACTAGTATTTTTCCTTTTTTGGGCAGTGATAGCATCACTTACCTGAAATAGACAAGTCTCTCAAAGTTAAGATATGACAATGCAGGCTGGGTGCAATGGCTCACCCAGTCTTTGGTTTGTCTAATTAGTAATTAGACATGACTTGTTCATGTGATCAGAAATGTACACTCCTGAGTGTATGTGGTGTCACACAGGCCACTAAGTAATGTACCAGGTGCCCATCCCTTACATTCTGGCTTCACCACCACCCCTCACTGAAACTGCCCTCTCATTGTCAGTGTAATCTCAGTGGCTTTATCTTTCACCTGATTTGCTTTGCCTTTCCTGCTGCACTTGACAGTTGCCACCATATCTTGAAATGTTACCTTATCTGTCCTGTTTATTCTCTATCAATAGTCCTTGACTTCCACTGCTGATTTTCTTCTTCCTCACCCCGTTTTTATATACTTTCTTCTTTCTAGCCTCTATATTCAGAGCTTACTCAACAGTAGATCACTCCCCAACCTAAATGGTTTCCATACTTATTTCAGACACTTTTGAGTCTGTCACCTTGTATCTCAGTAAATAAAACTGAACTCCAATGTAGTGAAAGAGGAACAAGTTGTCCAGAAAGAAGCCATCAATGGATGGCTCAGGTATGAATGCCTAGAATATTTGGGAAAAAATTTTATAGTATGTCCACAGCCCAGCTAAGTCTAAATGAGGAGTAGCAAGAGAATGAGGTTTGGGGAGATAGGCAGAGCCCAGATCAAAGGCCTTTAATTGCTATGCTTAGGCATATCTTTTTAGCAAGAGATGCCATTGAAGAATCTGAAGCAATCACAAAGGTGTGAGTGATGAAAGCCCCATTTAGAAAGTTCTCAACTGGTAGCATGGAGAATGGATTAGACGAAGGCTTGGTGAGACAAAGATGGATAGGGAGGATGGAAAAGAAGATATTTAGAAGGTACCTCGAGTAGAAATTTGGTTAGATTAGAGGATATAAAGTATCTATGATCACCCCCAGGTTGCCTCTAGCACGAGTAATGGGTTGCTGGCAATTAATAAACCCATCTAAGATTTAGTAGTGCCTGCTCCAGCAGCACATATCCTAATACTGGAACAATTCAGATTAGCACAGCCCCTGTGCAAGGATGACACGCAATTTCATGAAGCATTCAAAAAAAAAGACAGAATAAAAGTCTATGCTGTAACAATATATTGGTAGTAAAAACCATAGCCATGGATGACATATCTAACAATTATGTTAGTGAAATCATAATAGTAATTAAATATCTAATGAGTGTTTTCTATGTGCCAGACACTAGTTCCAAATCCTTATTAACTCATTTAATCATTAAAACAATTCTATGAGGAAAAGAACCCCATAGGCAGAAAGCAGATTAAGAAAAAACAAGTTGATTAGAAGGGAAGTAAACATGGGAAACCAAATGAGTTTTGAAAAGTAGGCATGAGATCAAGTGAACCAAAGTGTCTGTCTGATTTGACAGTTGGGTTATTGGAGATCTCACGGAAAACTGTTTCTAAGCAAGAATTCAGACTGCAGGCTATTTAAAGAAAAAGAAGAGACAGGCTGGTCCAACATTTTGGGAGGCCGAGGCTGGTGGATCACGAGGTCAGGAGATTGAGACCATCTTGGCCAATATGGTGAAACCTAAATAGAAAAATACAAAAATTAGCTGGGCATGATGGCGCACGCCTGTAGTCCCAGCTACTTGGGAGGCTGAGAAAAGAGAATCTTTTGAACCCGGGAGGCGGAGGTTGCAGTGAGCCGAGATTACACCACTGCACTCCAGCCTGGAAACAGAGCAAGACTCAGTCTCAAAAAAAAAAAAAAAAGAGAGAGAGAGAAAGAGAGAGAGAGAGAGAGAGAGACAGAATGAGGCTATTAATTGTTGGAACAAGGAAACCAAGTATGTGTGAAAGGGAAATGCTGAGAACAGGAGGAAGGGCAGCTCCTTCCTGAGACAGGTGGTAAGGATGGATGCTAGAGTAAGTAAATCCTCTGTAGCAAGGGGTCCAGGAACGGAGGGAATTCACAGCTCATGACCATGTTCTCTCCATAGAGGTATACTGTTTTTTTGGTGAGAAGGGTGGTGAAGGCTGGAATTATTGCTGGAAAGTGGCCTAAAGAATAAATTGATGAGACTACTGATCATAATTCAAAGATCTGGTGAGGCTGGAAAATGTAGAGGCATCAATCCATGGTTATGTGGGGCTTTTTTCCCTCTAATACACTGGACACGAAAAAGCAATAAATTATCTTGATTTATAATTTAGAAGGGCTGAGATTAAAAGCCCAGGCAGGCAGGATCAGAGCGAGTTGTATGACTGATAATTTCAATCTGCAACATTCTGATCAGTATATACTGTTAACATGTATATTTCCAAGTCTAGACTTTTTTTTTTTTTGAGACAGAATCTCGCTGTCACCCAGGCTGTAGTGCAGTGGCATCATCATCTTGGCTCACTGCAACCTCCACCTCCTGGGTTCAAGAGAGTCTTGTGCTTCAGCCTCTTGAGGAGCTGGGATTACATACATGCACCACCACTCCTGGCTAATTTTTGTATTTTTAGTAGAGACAGGTTTTCACCATGTTGGCCAGGCTGGTCTCGAACTCCTGGCCTCAAGCGATCCAACCACCTCCCAAAGTGCTGGGATTACAGGCATGAGCCACTACACCCGGCCCCAAGTCTAGACTTTAGATGTATTTATTCTTAAAGAAACACAAAAACTTCCAGTAGAGTGGCAGGGGTAAGCTAGGTAGTCCTGGTTTAGCCCTGTTAGAACCAATTAAGAATCCAGCATAGAAAGACAGTCTTTAAGCAAGGTGACTTAGATTCTCAGCAAATGTTCCCAAAATCAATAAATGTCTGACCCAAGTGTCTAATATGTTCAGCACTTGGAGAGAGGGGTAGGTATGGCATAAAATATAATCATTGCTCAAAATGAGTATTATGGAAGACATGACTAAACAAATGAAGTCACAGTGCAATAAACAAGATAATACAATTAAGTGCCAAAGCATATAATATGAATTTTCAAACCTGAAATATTTTGGAAATGTTTTAAATGGAAGTCGAATTTGAGAGTAACTCCCAAATGGGCAAGGAATCAAGTGAGTTATTCTTTCAGCTTTTGTTTAAAAGTATCACCAACATAGTTATGGAAAAGTTTAAAATATTACAAAGGGAATTGTTATAAACAATCTCTGACCTAAATAGTATGTGATCAAATGCATAAAGGACAAAAAATGTTAAGAATGAGTTCATCTAAATTTCTAAAAGATGTAAAAATAGACAACTTTTCTTTGTTGTAGAAAGAGCATTAAGATATGGAGTGATAGTAGTGAAATTACATAGTTCATGTAATCCTTCAGATAACCTTAATTTCCTAATGTGTAAAAGGGCTAGAAGAGTAACTTTTCTTTTTACCCACAAAAGGTCTGATTTGAAGTGTTTTACAAATATAAATTCTTTAAGTGCAGCCAACTAAAATACGAAATTCATTATGTTAAGCAGAACATTATAGTTCATCATTATAATTAGAAAGAAACTGGCAACATCCAGTTATTTGCCAAATATTAATATAATGGAACAAAACAGAAGTAGAATTTCTGCATGCAGTAATTGGGAAGGAGAAATAGGGATGTTTTATCACTTCTTAACTGAAACACTTCTATACTGGCTTTTAAATATTGTTAAAAATATCAACAGAAACCAAAACAGAAGATAAATTTCATTTCTATATTTCAGAAAACCTACTTGAATACACTTTGAAACAAGAGTACAACAAAATAGAATATACTTCAAATGTTGAATATACAAACTATTATAGTTCAAATCTGAACACTGGTACTTTCCCTCATAAACTTCAACTGAAAAAAAAAAAAAAAAAAAAAAAAAAAAAAAAAAAANAAAAAAAAAAAAAAAAAAAAAGAAAAAAGAAAAAGAAAGAAAGAAAACTCCAGGTATTACAGCTACCTGACAAAAATTCATGCTGAGCCTGAACTTCCAAGTGACAGCAGAACTGAAAATGATGTCTGCACAAATGCCAGGGCTAAGCAAGTGACACAGGCATGTTATAGCAAAAGGCCAGAGCCAACTGTTAATTTGTCCACAATTAAGAAACTGACAGACTTAAACTACCATATAAAATGTTACATGTAAATTCTATAACAATACTGTGCTAGGTACAAGATTTTTAAAATTTTTCTTTTAATAAAAAAGCTTTACACAAACAAGCCATTAGCTTATTTCAAGAAAGAAAACCAAAAAATTAGTCTAAGGCCTTTGTTTTAAATCAGCTTAAGCTATATGATATATATATATGTGTGTGTGTATATATATATATATATATATTTATAAAAAATCGCACTAGATCTTTTTTTGCTATCCTCTTTCTGAAGTTTTTGGATCCATTCTTCAATTCACATTCTAAAATACCTATATTAGCAGAGTCTTCACGTAGCACCAGTTAAGTGAGAACTGTGCGAACACAGTAATAATTGCTGGTATGCATATGAAATGCATCAAAAATTGCTATATGTAACAATGAGATCACCCATCCCAACCCTCCCCACCGAAAACTATATAACCTCTTACAGAATGTTAGTGTTCCAAGTCTTAGTGTAACTTGATATCGTAGTGAGTTGGTTGGTCCCTTTCAATCCTTTCTTATTGACGGGTTCAGTTGTTTCCTACTGTAATTCCTACTGTAAGAGGCAGTTTTCTGTCAGCATCTCAATATGTAGTTCACTTCCCACTGAAACATGGGATAGGTAATTTATTTCCAGTAAGTTTGATTGTTTTCGTATATGCATTAAAAATGTTTTAAAGTCTTCTTTGACTTTTCTTGGTGACTTCTCTTGCAAATGTTTACATCAGTACTGCCACTAACAGCCTGAAGTCCAAGGTGGAGCTGCGATTTTATTTCTCACATGTCACTAGTCCTTCTGTTTTCATAGTTACAGGAAGGGCAATAGCTGAAGGCGCACTGACAACCACTACGTGGGTCACTGTCTTATTTCCATCTGCCGGTTTTTCTTCCACCAACTGCAAAGTTTTCACATCGTGTTCTTGCTTTTTTGCCACTGCTTCTGATTTAACCTCTGGCCCCTTTATGACTGCACTGATAACTCGAGAAGGAGTCTGGCCAGATGCCTGCTGAGTAGGCATTGATAGTCTCATTACAGGTGTACCATGGGCTATTGAAACAGGGGTAAGTGCTCTCACAGCCAATGGGGTTCCAACAATGTTAATGCTTCCTGATCCAGTCAGATTTGACTTCGTCTGCAGTTGACACTGTGCGAGCTGTGTAGCTGGGATGGTAATAATTTTGGCAGGCTGCATGGTGATTTTGTCTCCATTTTCAGTAGAAGCTGGCATCACAGTAGGGATTGTCTGAATGACTACCTTTGGAGAGGTTGCTGTTGTTGGACTAGTGCTGGTTATTAATGGTGCACCCGCATTAACTGACTGAACTGCCACAGTTGAAATTTTCTGACCCAATGATGTCATTACAACAGGTACTTGCATTGCCACACGAACTGTCCTAGTACATTAGGGAAAAAAAAAAGCTGATTATTGCCAAATGAGAAAATAGGTCTCCTGAGTAAAAGATGAATGCAAATCCAAAATGTATAAAACTAGTGCTCCCAAATTTTTTGGAGATACTGGCAATCCCTGTTTAGAATATGAAATACCATGAAAATATATTATATTTTCAAAACTAAAGCCTACATTAAGCCCCATCTATAAAACCATAAAAACCAATTCAGGTTATTAAGACATCTGCTGCTTTGTTTGTTTTGTTTTGTTTTGTTTTGTTTTGTTTTGTTTTGTTTTGAGATAGGGTCTCAGTCTGTCACCTAGGCTGGAGTGCAGTGTGCTATCTTAACTCACTACCACCTCCAACTCCTAAGTTCAAGTGATTCTCTTGCTTTAGTTTCCTGAGTAGTTAGGACTATAGGTGTGTGCCACCATGCTCAGCAATTTTTTATTTTTAGTAGAGAGGAGGTCTCACTATATTGTCAAAGCTTGTGTTGACCTCCTGTCCTCAAGCAATTCTCTTGCCTTGGCCTCCCAAAGTGCTAGGATTATAGGTATGAGCCAATGCACCCAGCTAGACGTCTACTTTAACAACAACGAAAAAAATAAAAATATCAA